GGGGGGGAGGGAGGGAGAGTCTTAAGCAGACTCCACACTGAGCAAGGAGCCCTACTCGAGGCTCAATCTCAGGACCCTGAGCCGAAACCAAGAGTCAGATGCTTAACCAACAGCACCACCCAGGCGTCCCATGAGGTCCTCACCTTTGAAAAGGTTAAGATTGTTTGGTCTAAATTCTACTCTGGAGCTTCTACTGACAGAAGGGTAGCATCTTATGCTACACCCAGGTTTCACGCCAACAATTTCCTCTCCTTATTTCAATTGTGTACAATACTGGGGAAGGGCTTGCCTTTGACTTTTTATAGAAAATGTGCAATGACAAACAACCAGGGTTATAGCCACATACACAGACATCTGTGGTTCTTGAGGGAGCTCTCCCGAGACTCTGGTGGACCTGAAAGTATATGAACCAGCTCATGGCTTTTTTCTGAGTCACAGCTCTACTGAGGGTTATTATTTCCTAACTATCCATTTACACCTCAAGTTAAACTTATTTTCAGAATTCATTTAAAGTTTATGTCTCACTCGATGGTCTTTTTTCCTCAGGAAAAAAAAAAGCAAAATATTTAGTACTTAATAAGATTTTCCACATCTGGCATGACAATAAAAGACCCACAAATCTCAGCTGAGATGTTTTGAAACTTTGAAATAGTCATGCGGTCAAGGTTGCCAGATTTACCCAGTAAAAATACAGGATGTACAGTTAAATTTGAATATCAGATGAACAGTTCAGTATGAGCATGTCCCATGCAATATTTGGGAAATACTTATCCTGAAAGTGTATTTGCTGTTTTTCTGAAATTGAAATTTAACTGGGCATTCTGTATGTTATTTGGCAACTCTAAAATTGACTTGCACCTGTACAGGACTAAAAATTCTCCCTCAGTAGATGTGCCCATTTCCACCTATCACGGGCCTTCCCGGCCTCCTGCAAACGGTTGCCCTACTGAGCCTTACACCTGTGAATGCCAAGAAACGATTTTATTGGCCTCTCAAGTATTGTTTTCTACACTGTAATGAGGAGTTCCAGTTAAGAAAGACTCACCTAGAAAGATGTATATCATATGATCTCACTGATATGAGGAATTCTTAATCTCAGGAAACAAACTGAGGGTTGCTGGAGTGGGGTGGGAGGGATGGGCTGGCTGGATGATAGACATTGGAGAGGGTATGTGCTATGGTGAGTGCTGTGAATTGTGTAAGACGGATGAATCACAGACCTGTACCTCTGCAACAAATAATACATTATATGTTAAAAAAAAAAAAAAGAAGAGAGAGAAAATAGTAGGAAGGGAAAAATGAAAGGGGGGGGAATTGGAGGGGGAGAGGAACCATGAGAGACTATGGACCCTGAGAAACAAACTGAGGGTTCTAGAGGGGAGGAGGGTAGGGGAGTGGGTTAGCCTGGTGATGGGTATTAAGGAGGGCACATATTGCATGGAGCACTGGGTGTTACATGAAAACAGTGAATCATGGAACACTACATCAAAAACTAATGATGTATGGTGACTAACATGACATAATAAAATTAAAAAAAAGACTCACCTAGAAGCTTTATAAAAGCCTCCTTTAATTGAATTTATTTACTTATTTATTTTTAAAGATTTTATTTATTTATTTGAGAGAGAGAGAATGAGAGAGAGGGAGCACATGAGAGGGGGGAGGGTCAGAGGGCGAAGCAGACTCCCTGCTGAGCAGGGAGCCCGACGCGGGACTCGATTCCGGGGCTCCAGGATCATGACCTGAGCCGAAGGCAGTCACTTAACCAACTGAGCCACCCAGGCGCTCCCTTTAATTGAATTTAATATGTCTACATGTACATACATGTTTATTTCCATCTCTCCTTGTTCCAAACAAAGGACGTATGGTATATCATAAAATACATACATACAACATAGTGAGAAAATAAGTGAACTAAAAGGGGTGAAGATAAAATCAGTTTAGGAAAATGAGACGAGACCAGGAATGAACTTAGTATACAAAACGGACCTGGTCAGCCTTAGCCAGCTGGTGTGTGGGTGGCTGCGCAGGCTTCCCTGGGCCCTTTGCGGGCTGGTGTAAGGCCGGCCTCCACAGAGGCTCCCTTCACAAGGTCCAGAAAATAAAGCAAATCAACTGCTCCGGAGTCACTCAGCTATTCCCGGCTTTAGCCTGAGCTAAGTCCTCTTAGAGGACTGGTGTAGTCCAGTGACTAATGTTCTTTCTAAGATTCTTTTAGTATAAACGAAGCAACCAGTTTCTGAAACCTCAATATTTGCCAGTGGCACAGCCCCCAAATGCAGTTCAGAAACAGCGGCTCTTCAGATGTCAAAGGGATGCTCTCTGATGACTTATCTGAATAAATAATGATAAGGATCCTGATGATGAAGGCACTGATCATAATCATAATAACAAGTGCCTACTACTGCTCCGTGCTTAGGCAATTTACATCTAATCTGTGCAATGATCCTGCAGGCTAAATATTATTTTACCACTTTTTTTAAAGCAGGTGAAGAAATTGAGGTTCAAATGTATGTGCCCAGAGTCACAAAACCAGTAAATGGCAGAACTGTGATTTGAACTCAAGCTTTTCTGATTCTAAAAGCCTGGTTCTTTTTGAGAATGAGAAAAGGTTTATGTTTTTTGTGGGATTTAAAACTAACAGTTTTCTTTTTTCCAATTGTGAAAGTAATACCTATTTAGAAAGTATAAAAAGAAGGAAAAATTACCTATACTTTCTTTCTTCTTTTTTTTAAAGATTTTATTTATTTATTTGAGATAGAAGAGAGTGAGAGAGAGAGCACGAGCAGGGGGAGGGGCAGAGGGAGAGGGAGAAGCAGGCTCTCTGTTGAGCAGGGAGCCCGACACGGGACTCAGTCACAGGACCTGGAGATCATGACCTGAGCAGGAGGCAGACACTGAACCAACTGAGCCACCCAGGCGTCCCTTACCTATACTTTCATCACCCCCCAAAAATAAAGGTCGTTCATGGGTTCTGTTGATGAGGAAAAAATAGGATATAGGATATAGACCGGATGATGAGGAATAATGAGAAAACAAGAAAGACATTTTAAACCATAAACCCACCATTTAAAAATTTTTTAAAGAAAAATTTTTTTTCTTTAAAAAAATTGTAACTAACCTTACAGGCAAAGTACTTTTAGACAACCTGGACTTTTGGTTGTGCTTTGCCCAAACCTGGCCCTAGACCTTCTTAAGTCATTTTGTTGGGTCCTCCTGCCCCACCCAAGGTTCTCTTTTTCTTTACCTGGGAAATGAAGGGTTGGATTGTTCAAGTTTCTCAAAGAGTTGCCCCAACCCAGGCTGACTGAATGGAAATCTCGGGGGAGGGGCCTGGGAATCTGTATTTCACACGATGCCAACACAATTGCTGCTCTCCAAAGACTGAGAAACACCAAAGCACTGTTCCTGCTTCAACAGGCCTCAGGATGCAATGGTTCAAATGTTCCCTTAACAAGAGGAGGAGGGCTACTCCTACAAAAGGTGGTATTTTCACTCGCAAACCATCTTTCAGGTTATTTCACCTCAGCCCTGAGTGTGGCTCCTGGTTCTCAGCCTACAACCATACCGCACCTGTAGGCGCCCAGATTGATGCAGCTGATTCCCAGGTTGTATCTGGATCGGATGAAGCCTGGCTGAATCTCCAGGGCACGGGTGTAGGCCTCCACGGCCTCCTCACTGCGGTCTCCGTTCGCCAACGTTGCCCCGAGCCGGTTCCATAACGAATAGTCCTGAGGACAAAATCAGAGCTAACAACCGGCACGAGCCACAGTGACTGAGCATTCCCATGCTGCTTGCAGAAGAAGCATGGTGTGGCTAGAAATTTATCCAGGGCTCATGGATAGGGACAATGACAGTGGAGAATTACTCAAAAAATAGTATGGACGACTTTGTGAAATGACTTTTCGTTCATCAAAGAGCCGCTACCAGTGGACGCTGTCAGGCAATTCATGTTTCTGTTTGAGGTACTTGAAGATTAACAGCCACAGTAGCATATTATTAGTACTGATCACATTAAGCCATCGGATGCAGGGAATTAAGACGTAGCAGAAATGTGCAAAGTGTAGCCTGTGAGAAATTTTTAACAGAGAACCTTATGGTTTCTTGTTGTGCACTTACCTCCGGCCGAACAGTTAAGGCAGCGTTAAATGCATCTATTGCTCTATTAAATTCTCCACTCAGGTGGAACAGTACCCCCAGACCTGTCTGTAGGTCTGGGTCAATCATATCTCCATTTTGGTGGGCGGCTTCCAGATATAATTCCTTAACTCCTTCCAAAACGGAGCTACAAGGGAAAAAATGGAGATGTGTATTCCAAATAGTCTGAACATATTTACTATTATGTCCTCTGTTCCAAGAGAACATCAAAGACTGGAAAAATCGTGCTTAAAATATCTTCGCTTAATGAGAAGGACTATTAATACTGCATATTAAAAAATACCTGCTGATTTTCATGAATTATTTCATCATACACAGAAACATACTGTGCTAAGTAAGGTCTTCACAAGGAGAGTTCCATTGACCCTATGAGTGCCAGTGTGGAAAACCCCAGGGTTCCCTGAGAATGAATTAAACATCGTGATTTATTGCTGATAGAAACAAAATCCCTAGAAGGAAGGACTTCCGTTTTCACTCATAGCCAATTCTCAGGCTTTATGAAACGTGGTGCATTTTATAATTTATTTGAGGTTAATAATATGTCCACAGCCTTTTGCTTTCAGTTATGGTACTTCAGTAAAATGTCTGTGAGTGCCCACAATCTTGATCATATGTCCAGTCATTGGTTCTGGTCTCAGTATCAATCTTTGTCATCAGAGTTGCTCTTCTAGCAGGAATGCATCCCGGAATGGCTGCTGGTGAGGCTTGTTTTTTTATTTTTATTTTTTTAAGATTTTATTTATTTTTTCAACAGAGAGAGAGACAGTGAGAGAGGGAACACCAAGCTGGGAGAGTGGGTAAGGGAGAAGCAGGCTTCCTGCTGAGCAGGGAGCCCAATATGGGAATCCATCCCAGGACCCTGGGATCATGACCTGAGCCGAAGGCAGACGCTTAACGACTGAGCCACCCAGTCGCCCTGGTGAGGCTTGTTAATTACCCTTAAAGTGCCTAATCATGTAAATGGGTGTTTACTGCCGACTGTAACTTAATTAGAAGGATACCTATCAACTGGAGACTTGGACATCCTCCGGGTAAGGCCTGGAGATCCCTTCTTGCTCTTCACAAGGTATTTGTACTTTGGATTTTGCTTAATCCAATTCTTTAGAGCTTCACAGGCATCCTGCTGATGGCCGGTGTTAGTGTAACTCACGGCCAGAGCCATCAAAGCTTTCAAGTTGTTGGGCTGTAATTCTAAGCACCTGCAAGAAGACATAAGTAAATAGGTAAATAAATAGCCAATTTCAGATTTTTTCTGAGCCAGAATCTAACAGTTCTTTAGGAAATTTGAGGTCTTTATTAATTAAATGGTGCAAAAGCATGGCTAAGTTTATGTTAAGTCCTTGGAAAATACCATATTTATCTGTGTGAAAATTGGGACCTAAGTATGTTTGTAAGAAAGTTAAAACTCCTCTCAATGAGCGCTAGGTCTGGTTATTTAGTAAGTTGTTTTAAGATAATAGAAAAGGTGGCTAATCCTTGCACAAGATTTATTAGGAGTTTATTTCATGAGGGGCTAGCATTGTTTTAGCGCTGCTCTATTATTGATGTATTAAATGTATCGGATCCACAAAGCAAACTGACCAGAGGTAAATTTGGATATGCAGAGATGAAAGTCTGTACAGTGTTTTATAAAGGAGAGGGAAATTCCTGTGTTTCTAGACTACCGATGTGGGTTTACACGAGGCACAGGCTATAGCTGCTTCCCCTCATGCTATCCCTCTGGCCTCTAGCAGGGGCCTTTCAAACTTTGAGGTGCCTGAGAATCATTTGGCAACTGGAAGTCGACTTGGTAGGGCTGATTTTTCCAGGGTTTACAGAGGGGCTCTGTAAAGTGTGATGCTACACCCACCCAAAGCAGTCTAGACCTTTAGTCACAGGCTCAGTAGTTATACTTGTAGGTCACTGAAACTATCTCAGGAGATTCTCTGTAGACACAAGGAGCTAAAATTACACTGAGGTTATTTTGAGCATGTTTTTCCTGATGAAAACTTTCAAATGTTGCAGAAGGCTGAAAGTTAAAAGGAACTGTATATGTAATGAGTCTATTTTATGACCGCTTTTCACGTGGACACTTTTGTGCCAATGAAGGTCAACCGATTTGCGGATGACGAAACACTGCGATTTAGGAATATTATTTCTTCATAGATTCTTGTTTCCTACAGGTAAGTAATATGTGGCCTCTCAGCACTTATCCTGGCCAAATTCTTTACAATGTACCTAAGGATCAAAAGACAAGATAAACAGGAAGTCGGCTTGGCCCATAATTTTGCACTTAGCTTCATCTACCTCTGGAGGGCGACAATAGCTGCTTGTTCGTTTTCATTCTCTGCCTGGGTTATCCCGAGGAACTGCCATGCCTACAAAAAACAACCAAGGTCAATATTGCAAGAGGAAGCAGATTTACTCTTGTGCTTTAGATCCCTCCATGCAGAACAACCTGCCTCGGATGCGAGAGTCTTGTAAAAGGGAAAAATATCACAAGCATTTCTTTATTCAAAGGCTCTTCTGACATCTGGGTCAAGATCCTCTGCCATTATTGACAAATTCTCAGTCTTTACTCTCCTGTGACACATGGAAACATTTGAGTATCTGAGATTTCATGGTATTAGGTGTCTTAAAACCAAAAGATAAATATATAAAAGTATGCATTTGTGAGGAAAGGGGATGGAAAATAACCCAGAAATGTAGCTAAAGAGTGCAGACTTTATATAGTAAGGAATCTCAAGATGTACAAAATGAAACCAGTTTGTATAGAGGCAAGTTTGACTGTTACTATAAGAGCTAACAGAAAATTTAGGAACTAGGGAAAATAAAACAAAATCCTCCACTCTAATGAGCCATGAACATGGCTCTAATATCACTGTTAAAATGCATAAAGCACATATAAAATGCAATATAATACATACATAATTTTATAGTCTACACTTATACTTTATATTGCATCATGAGCACTTTTCATGTTTTTACAAAATCCTCATAATTATAATTTTTAATTTAAATTCTGTTGAGTGGATATCCTATTATTTACTCAACCAATTCCCTATTGCTCTCAGGTTGTTTCTAATCCTTTGCTATTGTCGACAATGTGAAGAATATCTTCAAGCAGATAACATTTTTCATATCTAGAATGAAAGTTTTTAATATAACAAATTTCTCCCTATATACTTAGAGGAACAATAATTCTCACACCATTACAAGAACAATCCACACGAACAAAACCTCTCATTACATACACTGTCCTTAAATTTGCTGGGGATGGGGGTATATCAGTCTTACGGATTTAAAAGGGTTTGGGGATTTTGGGGTGCCTGGGTGGCTCAGTTGTTAAGCCTCTGCCTTCGGCTCAGATCATGATCCCAGGGTCCCGGGATCGAGCCCCGCATCGGGCTCCCTACTAAGTGAAGAGCCTGCTTCTCCCTCTCCCACTCCCCCTGCTTGTGTTCCCTCTCTCGCTGTCTCTCTGTCAAATAAATAAATGAAATCTTTAAAAAAAAATAAAAGGGTTTGGGGAGTGCATATCTCTCCCACCCACAGACATTTTAAAGCAAAATTATATGAAGATACATAGAATCATCCTCAAGTGCTATAAAAATTGTATTGGCTTTATCATCCTGAGTTATTATTACCCATGCCATATAAACTCATAAAAAATACTGATTATTTTCCTCTCAAATATCAGTGATTCTTTTTATTCGTTCAAATGTACACAGAGCAGCCCCTATCTTGATTTCACCTTCTACACATCTTAGAATGCTTCTTAAGTTTGATGAAACATTCCTTCTCTGGGGGCTTCTCACTAGCTGGCCTTTGAGCATGGTGTCATTTTCACTGTTCACAGATCGTCCTTTACCTGAATTTTGGGGTCTCCAAGATTCAGAAGCCCTGGGTCCTTGGTTGGGATCCATTAGTTACCCAGTGTCCTAATCTCTCATTTATGAATCTGATATAATAATGTATACTTCTTTTTTTAAGCTTCCAGGGTTGTTGTGTCAAACTATATAATACACATGAAAACATCATAGCATTTAGAAATGTAAATGATATTCTTTTGGGGGTTGGTCTACAGTTTTCTATTAATGTAATGACTTTCTCTTCCATAGTGATTCATATATCCTCTTAAAAATTCCAATATTTTGGTTCACATTCCAATTCTCAGCTCAATCTTGTTTCACTATCAACGTTTTGACTGACAAGATACCAGGGTTTTGACCTAGTGATCAGTTTTCTCATCCCTCCTATACAAACTTTAAGTACAACCAGTAATAATAATGAAGGCTAATTATTGATGCACCAGGTACTGAACTAAGCACTTTATTTATATGAACTAATTTAATCCTCACAACACCCAATGAATAGTTATTATAATTGTGACTTCTGTTTTATGTATGAAGAAATGGAACTGAGACGGTTTAAATGACTTGTCTCTGATCACATGGCTCATGGCTCATGAGTGGTAGAGCAGGGATTTGAACCCACACAGTTAGGATGGCACAGCCCAGAACTTAACCACTCCTCTATACTGGCCTCTCAGCACCGTATATAACACTCCCTAAAATTTCTGCCAATTCCTTATGAGGAATATTCCTTATATAAAGATGATTCCTGAAAATTACTCCCAAACTAAAAGAGAAGACTTTACACCTGCCACTAACTTATTATAGGCCTCTGCAGGTTTAGAAACATAGTGGACCAAAGGAGGGTGGCGAAGCCTCTCTGGGTGGTCTGCTGGCCTCAGTCTCCATCACCTTCCACACCTCAGAGAAAGGAGTTTTTCGAGGCAAATCGGATTGAATCCCTCTGCTGAGTAGAGTCCCCCTAGTGGTTCCCCTGGCTTTCATGAAGTTCAGACTCTTACCCACCTCTTCCTGCCTCCTCTCCCACCATTGTTTCCTCCCCTCTACCCTCTGGAACAATGTTTCATGGCCCACTGTCCACACACAAACCACTTGTTCTTTAACGCCTCTGCCTCCCCTGCTGTCTTTCTTTAAGCCCCGCCTCCTTCAAAGCTCAGCTTTGGATTTCATTGTAGGGGAAGGCCCGCTCAGGAGCCTTGCTCTCTGCTCTCCTAGCATCCTGTGCATACTCTGACATTGCATTTATTACACTTGTCTTTCCAGATAGAACACAAATATATCTTTTCAACAGTTCCATTTTCCCAGCTCTTCAATATTTGAAGCCAGTGCCTGGCACAATTCTTAGGACCCAGTATGCGCTCAGTAAATGTTGAGTGAGCGAACCAAGGGTGAGACACGGGGTGGCTCTAGGCCTAGACAAAACTATACACTGCCCCCTGAAAACTACTGCTGAGCCTCCAGGTTGACAATTTTGGTTTTTCATTTCTTGTCTTTTATCTTTGGGCACATTTGATTTGGTTAGCGAATAGGTACCTATATGTAACTTTTGAACACATAGCACAGTAAGCCAGGTTAACGTCTTTGCGAGTCTTTCCTTGATGCAAATGCAGCTGAGGGGAGCTCTGTGGCGCCCCCTGTCGCTCACTCACACGCAGCCACTTTGTGAGCCGAGCAGGAAGAAGGGAAAATGTTACCTCTGCATCTCCAGGGTCCTGAAGAATCGCTGCTTCCATGAACAGGATGGTGACAGGCAGGTCCCCTTCCTTCAGTCTTTTTAAGCCTTCTTCAAATGCTCCAGGCCAATCCTTGAAGGGATTTTCAGTGTGAAAGTAATATCCCTACAACACGGAGAAGGGCACTATGAGATCCATCCATTTATCTCTTCCTTCTGATATTCAGTAAGCTCTTTTTGAATTTGAATTTGAATTTATTTGTTTTAAGTTATTTAAATTAAATTGAAATTACTGTTTTTTTCCCCTTCCTATGAATGTAGGACATTTTCATTGTATAAATTTTGGATGATATTATTTGTTATTGAATAATATAAAAAGAAACAAAAGTTACCCATCATGCCACAACCCCTATCACTGCTAATATTTTGGAGTTTGTTTTCGGTCTATTACTCTTTTGCTCTTTTTGTTTTAGCCATTTCCCCCTGGGATTTAAAAAATGCAGAGTTTTAGACGTATTTTTGCTAAGTGCTACCATCCATTCCCCTGAAATGTTAATGCCACATACTGTACATCTGTTTATGTGCTGTGACCCTTTGGAGGGCTACAAACCATTCTACTATCTACGATTTTTTTTTTACCTTCCTGCTCCTTGAACCAGTTTCTGTCCCATTGAGAATGCATGTTTTAAACTTATAGGTCTTTTCTTTCAAAAATTTAAATTGTACAGAATGTATAAATAATCTTTTTCTATGAATATATAAATTAAACAAATAAGCTCATACCATATGTGCAGTTTTGTAGCTTAAGCCCCACTTAGTTGTAGTTTTTAAAATTATTTGCATTGTGCCAAAACTTACTTAACCAAGCTCCTACTGATGGACATTCAGGTTACTTTCCATTTTTTTGTCCTCATAAATAAAGTTACAGAGAAAACCTTGCGCTCAAATCTTTGCGTATGATTATTAACTTAGGATAGACTTCTAGAGGGCTTTTTTAGACTAAAGGCTATGAACTATTTTGAGGCCCTTGATATGTATAACTGAATTGCTTTTGAGAAAAATTTGTCCCAAGTTAAACTCTAATTGGAAATATCTGAGAGAAATGATTTGTTGCAACCTTACCAGCATAGATCATCATAATATCCTTCTAATTTGATAGATACAAATAAGCTAGTCTGTTAATGATGCTACTAAGGTTTAAAAATAGATTAAATGGAGACTTTCATTCTCCGTTGTTGCTGAGAAAGACAAACCTGCTTATCAAAGCCACAGGGTATGACCAGTTTAAAACTGTGTAGTGCTGTTACAGATATGGGGGTCCCAGGGGCGAGGAGCTCAGGGCCCCAGCCATGCCTCAGGCGCATGAATTACAGCCTAGAGTCGGCCAATCTATATCAATGTTTTCTCTTCTTGCCTAGCTTTGATTTCTTTGTAGAAGAGGGTTATATTTAATAAGATAGTTACTCTAATTTTATGAGATTGCCTGGCCTACTGAGGGGCAGATAATACTGGCAGGAAGACATTTTAATGACTATGTAGATTGAAAATCCTCTAAGATTGGAGATTATTCATCATCATATCTATTGCTAGGCAGGCATTCAATAAATATTTGTTGATTGAACAAGTGGAAGTTATCCAGAACTGAATATCATTGAGACTTCCTCTACCACAAAAAATCCGTAATACACACATATTATATGTATATACATATACACATATATATAGTTTTTCCTTCAGTAAGAAAATTCCATATCTTTTTCTATCTTTCAAGTCCTTTAAATTTATTTCTCAAAAGTGTCCCTCCCCTCTTCACCAAGTGTTTTTATTTTTTATTATTTATTTATCTGTTTTTATTATTTTTTTTCACCAAGTGTTTTTAAAAGCATAAACCCAAGGGCAACTGGGGCTTCATGGGTAATTTGGCCAGTTGTTGACTGAACTCACACATTTGCTGGGGCTCCTTTCAGGGGAGTATCTTGGGATTGGGACTTGTCCCTGGGACTTGACCTGGCTGTGTGAAGCGTATCTTTTCCACCGTGTTTCTTTGTCAGCTATGTAAGGACCACCCGGGAAATACAGCCCTAAGCCCCACCTCATTCCCCTGTCCACTGATACCATTTCTCTTAGCTCGTCCACATGGCTCACATGAATGACTGACAAAAAGCATTGTGAGATTAGCCAGTTCTTGTTCCAACCCACCCTCCAGGCCAGTTAGTTCAGTAACTTGCCCAGCAGTCAAGAATGCAAGCTCTTGTTGGCTGTCAAACAGTATAAACATTGATAAAAATATTTAAGGATATTTCATTCTAGCTTTGCTGTCTTCACACATTGGATGATTATATTGTTTTCATCCACCAGAATTTCTTCTAGGTCAGGCTGACAGTAATTTGTCTACTTAATTCTCGAATTTTTTGCAAAATAGTTAATGACTAATTTATAAAAATATGATGCAAAGAGGTTGAGAAAACTGGTCAGCATATATAAGAACAGACTCAGTCACCTTCTCGCTAGCTGAGATTGTAACTTGGTTCTGAGCTTCTTGGTTCTCTGATATCCAGTTCCTCCGGGCCATTTCTTCCCATTCTGCTTGCATCTTATCCCAAAACTCTGTATCTGACTAGGAGACAGGAAAAACGAAGAAGAGAGATGGATTTAAGACCATGTTATGTCACCTGGTTTATTTCTAAAAAGACAGTTTTCCTCATAGATCAGAATGAGTTCTGAGGAGGAATAAAATGTTCACACTGGCCACATCCAATGATACTCATGGTTGAAGAGCTCCTGGAGGGTACTTAAGTGGTCAGAGTGTTAAATTGGATTAGTTGTGACTTTCTCCAGCAGGAAAATAGTTATCATCTGAAGGACGAGGATCATATATGCCAAATTCAGCTCAAAATCCATTACTTGAGCAGTTTCAAGTCTGGGCACCGGGCACATATTTTAGGAAGGATGGTCTTAGAGTTGCTCTCAGGATATGAGGAATTACAGCAATGGCTTTGGGACTGAATGGGTAGTGACTTGGGGAAGGAGCCGACCATGGACAAGGGAAAATATTAGTTGACCCTGCTCTGTGCCAGGCACCTTGCTAGGAGAAAACTGAGCATAGAGGATTATGGTCACAAAGCTAGGATTGCATAGCATCAGAACCCCAGTCTGGCTTCCAAGCCCTTGCTCATCACCTATGGCAAACATGGCCTCCTGGTGCTAAAGAATGAAGGACCTTGGCTTTTGGTGTGAACTTAATTGAGTCCTCTTAGTCAAGGTCTTGTCTACGGCAGGATGGTTTTTTGAAAAATATTACTTTGTGTTTTTCTCCTTATAATTTTCCTTTATGTTTTCCAAAAGGGAAACCAGGCCATTTGCTGCCTTTTACCTCAGGGGAGGACTGAAACGGAAATTTTCTGCAAGATCTGTCCCTGGTTGGCTTCTGTTTTGTTAAGCCTAAAGAGAGTACTTTGGGTGTCCTGGTGTGAGGAAAAAGGGGCAAATATTTTAAAGAACTTAAGGGAGGAAGGAGGAAGGGGAACTTTCCAGGGGCGGGAAAGACAAGGAGGGTGGTGGATTCTGAGATGAGTGGGAGACTGGTGCTTAGCTTTTAGGTTTTTCCCTGCAAACTGGCCTAATTTCCAAGAGCGTGGCAGAGGGTATGACTGGGGGGCTGACTTCCACTCTTTTTCTGACATGGCAGGGACAGACAGAAACTGGATTTCAGTTGGGGCTTGTTGGCTGTTAGCTGTCAACATGACAGACAAGAGGGTAGAGACTCTGCCCTTGATTTCTGGCACCACATAATCCTTCCATATTTGGTGTCTGAGTCTAAGTTGGTAAGAGAGATGCTTGGAAACTACTTAATTTTCTTTAAAGAAAACAAGGGATGTTATTGCTTGAACACCTGAATCTGGGACTGAGATGCATACTCTTATCTGCAAATCTCAATTTCTATGATTCTAAGTGCTGTGACTTGCTGACACACCATCAAGGTTGTCCTTCACTTTTCCATCCTTCTAGTCTTACCTTCTACTCTATCCTCATGCCTGGTGGTGGTGGTTCTATGGGGGGAACTCCTCAAAGTTGCTCTGAATGATAATTATATGCTTATTTCTTCTGGATACAAATGTTCAAGAAATAAGGGCCAGCCCAATGTGATTAATCCTAGGCGGCTAAATAAATAGTAGGTCTTGTTATTCTCCTTTATTATGTCCACAATACTCCTTCCTACCACAGGAGTGGGTCCTGTCCCCTCAGCAGAGGCCTCCCCTTGATGAAGCCTCAGGGTAGCAGGCACCTTGATAAATCTGTGTTTGAGATGCTAGAAGCACACGGAATGGCCACCACTTATCCAGGTTAAGGTTAGGAATAAAACTCAAAGTTTCTTTTTTAACAAGTCTTTTTAGCAGAATACCAAATTATGCAAAAGAGTGATCTCAGATATACAAAAGTAATGGCTTGATAAAAAACCAGAAGGAAATATGCTGCCATGTTAAGAGTAATCTGTCTTTGAATGAAGGGATGATGGGTGGTGTTTTTCCTGCTTCTTTATACTTTTCTGCACTTTCTGCATTTTCTATGAGTATGCATTGCTGTTCTAATTTTTAAAAAGGTTCAAAACGACAATAAAAGAGAACAATTATCTGTCCTTTTTTAAATACCATAAACCTGAATATTTAGATGCTGAGGAATTTGGAAAAAATTTTTGAAAAAAATTTTTGGAGACTCGTTTTCTTGAATAGCTTTTCACAGTTCAGCTTGTCTGCACAGAAACTAAGATAAATCTATCGAGTGAATATAATTTTTTACTGATTTTCCCAGTTCTTCTGAATGAAAGAATGAAGATCACTTCATAACATGTACATCTGGATTACAAAAGGATGCATCACCTTTCCTGCAGTTTCAAATTAGAGCGTGGATGCAGAAACCAGACTGCTGTAGAAAACAGGACCTCAGTGGAGATGAGGCTGCCAGGCTCTTATTTAATGAGATACACCAGGACTTACTGTTACCACTTAGAATAAGTTCTGCTGACTAATTAAAGTGCACAGCACAGATTCATTTAATTACAGATGACTACTTTTAGCACAATCAATTTTCATCCAGTCTCAGAATCCAGATTTCATTCACATAACTGCAATTAACACTGCTTCTTTTTTTCTATTTCTAATCAATTTTAGAGAAACCTGAAACAAATCTGAATTTTAACCATTGTAGACACGACTGAGGGGATTTTATGTATTGATGATTTTCTTAGCTGTTCTGGGATTTTGTAGACAGTTTTTTTTACACTCTACAGGTAATAAGTTATGTGCTTACACCAGAAATGAGCTATCTGCAATCCATTTTCATTTTTAAAAATAGCTTTCTGATTATAACAATGGTAGATATTCATAAGAAACTTGGGACATGTGGTAGAGTGGTTAAGAACAACAGCTCTCTTCTCAGATGGGCCTGGGAACAAATGTGGCTTCATCACTGACCTTTGGCAAGACCCTTGACTCCTCTAGGTCTCATTTTCCTTATCTTTAAAATGAACATACAGTAGTGATCTTGGTTAGTCATTATAAGGATTAAATAAGAAAATATATCTGTGGTATGAAACATATGGAAAATGTTCAGTAAATGTAGGTGTGCTTATCAGTGTTTTTGTATCACTGAGAAAAAGGTAAAGAATGAAACAAAGATCACCTACAATCTCAAAACACAAATATACATCTAAGAGTATCTTGGTGTTTTAATTTGCTGTAAATATATATCCTCTTCTAGATACCTTTCCTCTCTTTATTTAAATCTTTCGCTTCTACCTAATTATTCAAAAATTGGACCAAAGTTAAGAAGATTATGGACAAAACAGACTGTTGTGTAGCCTAAAATGTTATTTAAGAAGAGTTATTACAACATGGAGCAGGCCTTGGGTTATACCATTTCTTTATAAGTACTATGATCACAGTGATAGACAACAACATATAACGTGTTAGGAAAATAATGACTGTAGAGAAATGCACCAGTAGCATTACTTTCATGGGATGGGATTATGAGTAATTGTCCCATCACGTTTCCTTGTATTTTACAGCATTTCTAATGCTAACATGTTATTTTTGTGAAAATAAGATTTGGTTAAAAATACTTACTTCTGGGGTGTCTGGGTGACTCAGTCAGTTAAGTGCCCGACTCTTGATTTGGGCTCAGGTCATGATCTCAGGTTCCTGAGATCAAGGCCCCGACGGGCTCTGAGCTCGAAGCAGAGCCTGTTTGAGATTCTCTCTCTCCTGCTGCCCCTCCCCCAACTTGCACATGCTCTCTTACTCTCACTCTATCTAAATAAGTAAATAAGTAAGTAAATAAGTAAATAAGTAAAATAATAAGTAAAACCTTAAGAAAGTAAAACCTTAAGTAAACAAGTAAAATAAATGAATAAATAAGTAAAACCTTAAAAAAATACTTCTTTTCAATTTCAATTCCTCCATGATGTTTCTCCAAAAACCCTAAACTAGAAGCATCTCTTGCTTCTCTCTGTTCCTTTGAACGAACATTGTGTAGTTAGGAAGAAGAGAGATATGTGCTAGAAGCTTCTATTATCCCTATAAACTTGAATAAGTCATTCAAACCCATCTGAACATTGTTTTTTGTCATTTGTAAACTAAGAATACTAAATTGGCTACACAATAGCTCAGGTTTCTTTACGCAGATTGACTCAGAAGATCAGAATAAGTGGGATGGGAAGTGGGCTTCTAGCCTAAAAATTACATTTTAAAGCGTTTTCCTAAGAGTAAAACTGACATTTTCTCTTTACTTTTTGATTGTAAAGCTAGAAAATAAAAATTTCTATAAGAACCATGACAAAATTAAATACTAATTAAATTAAAATATAAAGAATAAAAAAATAAACAATTTAATTTAGAACCAGGGAATTTTAAGGAAGAACAGCATATTGCTAGTTCCCACTCACCAGTCTATTTTGGTTATCCTTGAGTTAAAATAGAGATACTTTCTATTTTGTGGCCAAACATAATTGTTGAGTAGAAGGATCCTGGGGTTGTGCTGTGAAAGAACTGTTTGATGTGAGATGATTTGCCCCTTGTGCCTGTGAGGAGTCTGACTTTCTTTTTGCTTCTTTAGACATCCATTGATTAACTGGATCAAAACTTAAACAAACAATCCATTCTGTATATGCAAAAGAAAAAAGAGTAGCCCTTGCATGGCAAGGAATGAAAATCACTGTGCAAGTTTGGACAAAATATTTGCCACAACAGACAATTTTTGTTGAAGGGAAATTATGTGTAGATCAGTTAGACAGCTTATTGCCCAGGGACCCAGTAGCCCAGGCTAGCAAAACGTGGCTGAAACATCTCCACTCACATCTCGTATTGACGAAAAGCTAATATTAGTCAAAGATTCCATGTGGCTGCCCAAAGAACATATTCAACCTGGGGCTGTAAGAATAGATGTTCAGCACCCTGTTCAAGGACTGGATAGAATTTTGATGGGTCAGAATAAGTTTGAGCTCTGGGTGAGGTTCCGGGTGTCCCACGTAGTGACGGTCATTGGCAAACTGGAGTCTATTCAGGCAAGAGTGAATGGGCAAGAGTAACCCAGTTTATGAAGTGATTCACTGGTACAGCAAGG